AAACTAACTGCTTGTTTCTCTATCAGCTTTTACCCACGGGCGGAACATTTTGTGAACAGCCACGGGCCAGGATAAGCCAGGTAAAACCAAAATTTGTGTAATTTTCTCTTGCCACTAAAGCCCAGAAATTTTTGTGACTTCGGGTTGTGTTTTTGTGATGATAATACGCCTTCCAAATCAAACTTTAGCATGTAAGCCACCGGGTGGTAGAACATCTATCACAGATGTCAAATCTTCTACAACGTTATGGACCTTTAATCCTTTCAGACCATCCAGTTATGTTTCTTTTTACAATTACGAAAGAATCTATCACAGAGCTAGGTGAGTTGAGGGAAAAAGGTCAAACTCCGCATTCATTAGAAATAAGAAACTGTTGCATGGTGGAATTTTCTTTTAGTTTCTAACTTCTGATAATCTACTTTGTCTTTACATACTTTGGTTTGTTTCAATGGTTTAGATATAACTACTACAAAACTGTAAGTGGCTGGACTTTATGTCAGGGGAGCTTGATCCAACAAACCTTACAAATTGTTAAGATTAAAAGATCTTTAGTTCCATTCCTTCTCATGTTTCAATTGCTATGGACTCTGACCTTTATTCAAAGTAGTTTATCAACTCGAAACATGCAATCCTCAAATCCAATTGATTCCGATGAAATTCTTGAGATTTTGGGATGTGTCTTTGAGAGTTATTATGGACTAGTTGTATGAAGATGAGGCTACTGAAGAGATTGATGAGGATTCAACGAGGCAGAGAAATTCGAGAATTATTCTTGAGGTTAGGGATTTGGATGACACTGAAAGTATTCATGAAGCGTTTTTGCCAAAAATTTCTGAGTCTCGAAAGTGCTTTCATGCTCGATAGATTGAACGAGTGAACAAGAAGATTGAGGATCAAATTTTACGCAAAGGTGTTCTTGATTTGTGAATTTTGCTAGATGTTTTTGAATAAAGTGGTTGAATAAGGTTACTCAGTTTTTGAGAGTCAATCGCATAAATGATTTTGCGATACAGGTCTAATCATTAGCCGCCATAAAAAATAACACTTTGGTGTTACGCTTTGTACGAACACTTGTTCAGCTCATAAGAAAATACTATTATGTCTAAAAAAGTGTTGAAAATCCTTCCGATCCTAACACAGACACAGGGGTTGGATTTTGTTGGAATTGGTAAATAAAATATAATGTTTATTGGAAAGGAAGGATTATTGAAAAAAAGAAACCCAATTTGTAAAACGAGTTGTCACAGGAGAAATACTTCGAGATGTAATTTTGAATTTTGATTAGCAGCAGTTGTTTGGAAGGCCACACCAGTACGGGACCTCGGGTAACAATTTCAATGCCGAGTCGGGGCAGCAAGTGGATGGACGACGATCAGCACTGATGAAGAAAGTCGTTTGGAAAGCTGGAAAAATGATTGATATAATAAAAGAGAATGTTAGATCTCCATCTAACTACCAATTTAAAAACTCACTAACGGCTAGCATTTTCCTTTTCTTCGGTGGCTGAAACGAGTGGATCGGCCAAGAAGAAGAAGCAAATAAGGGCCACAGCAGCGACTTTCATTTTGATTGTGAATGGAGAAATACAAATTGATTTGTGATGTAGTTGGGACTTCAAGTTGAGTATTTATACCAAGGTTTATTTGTTGATAGCACATTGCTGATTTCATTTCCGGTGACAACACTGACTAGTTTTTGACCCCAAAAGTAACTACTGAGTTATCAGTTAGTTTGTGTTGTGAAAACTTAGGCAAAAGATCGTACTGATTGTTGCGTCAAGGGGCTAATAAGGAAAAATCAAAAGGAAACTGAATGGTTTACGTTTGTTCTTTAGTTTAAAGTAATCAATGATTACTTTATAGGCTGAACAAACAAAGTTAGAATATCGAAGGTGGCAAAGGTGGTGTGAGAGCTTTTTCAGCTTCAATTTTTTCAGCCTTTTTTTGAACTTCAATTTTCCAGGCTTTAAGAACAAACCTTGAATTAAAGTACTCTTGGTGTTTTTGCTATTTGTCTTCTGAAGTATTCTGGAAGCGACAATGAGGAATATTTTCAAATTGCGGTTTTTTTATTTCTTTCACCTTTGCGGTTTCTTTCTTTCTTTTTCCTCACTTTATCAGTGTTTTCGAGCAAGAAGTGCAACCAGATTTTGATTCATTTAACCCATTCAAAATGCAAAAACAGGATAAAAAATAAACCTTTTCAAAACGAGGAGTGACAATTCAACTAACGACTCCAATGAGAAGACAAAGAGTTAATATCGGAAATGAAATCAGAAAGTTTAGAAGCAAATGACTTTGAATGCCCTTTCGATGACAGTTAACTCACCAATCAGCGGGTATAAATACCCACCCTGAAACCTCAACTACAGCACAAATCCAATTTGTACTTCTCAACACCAATCCGAAATGAAAGTAGCTGTTGTGGCCCTTATTTGCTTCTTCTTCTTGATCGATCCACTCGTTTCAGCCACCGAAGAAAAGGAAAATGCACCAATGAGTGGGTTTTTGCCTATATGCATTCCTGGACAATCACTTCCTCTATTCATCAACATTCTAATATTTCAGGTGTCCAAAATGATGTGGTCGACTTGTTCCGCCGTGCTGATGCCATCGTCCAGCCTCCTGATGCCCCGACTCTTGCATTGGAAATTGTAACTCGGAAAGTGCTACTGGTGCGCTCAGCCAAATAATTGCTGCTGATCCCATTGAATGAATTTCTCGTAACAATTTATTTTAATAAAACTTTTTATTTCAATACAGTAAACATAGCTTTTCTCTTGTTTTATCTTGAATTTTAAGTACTTTGTTGAGCCAAGGAAGCAGTGACCCAGAGCGGAGACACTTTGGACCCAACACTTCTCGACAATGGCTATCGAAAAATTTATAAGGCGTTTAGAAAAACTACTTACAATCAACTCTTTTTCCATTTACTCAGTTCCAGCAAAGTTGCTTTGAGCTGTTTACGATACGGTTGATACAATAAGTAGTATTGCTATAGTATTCGCAAGACCATGTTGAGAGAGGCACAGGCTAATTAGTGGGCAATACTCTAAAAATTATTATATAGAATATATTTGCTCAATTTCATGCAGACTTTCGTTGTGTTGAAAATAGGATCGAGCTGAAGATCAACTTACTGGTGTATTTGATTTCATCAAGAATGATTACAGCAGTACCCAAAAGACAGGATGATCACAGTGATCATTGGAATTGTTATCTGAAGTAAGGTTACAGTGTTTTTAAATCAAATTGACGTGCTACTGATGGTAGAGTTGTTTGACGACTTTAACGGTTTAACGCTAGAAATCAAACCCAAATATTTAAAGATGTGATGCTTTAGATTTGACAAATCCACTGAAAGTCAACCGAATGTTACGAAATTCTGTTTTGGCTAGAGGTGTTTCTCCAAGTTATTCAGAGAATGATGATTAACATCAAGTATCCCTATAAATTTCTAAAAACTAATTGCTCAATCGTTGATGATAATTATTGCTCTCAAAAGTGGAAAAAGTTTGCAGTTGTGGTCCATCTCCAACTGACAGCCGCTTAGGTTTGGGAATTCGATCCGATATTTGGCTCCTTTTTGCTCCAAAATCCAAAGCCAGAACTAGAGCCAGCGCCTGGTCTAGCGTGACTTTGCATTGATCGTTTGAACGATTAGTGGGACAAGTCTACTTAATAGTGGCAGAAGATCACTTGTGTAATTAAAGCTTCGATCAATCTCCTCCTCGTGAATGAGTCGTTTTTCCAGGTATTCTTCTTGAATGCGAAGAAAGTAGAAGCAGAGACAAGTATAAACCTGGAGTTCTTATGTCTTTTCATGGTACGTTTAACTATTCTGCAAGTCACTTTACTTCAAGCCAAGAACATTTGCATTTTAAATGGTGTGCGAAATAATCAAAAGTAGGTTTGGGTACTTTTGACTCTTTTATACGCCATTTTGCATATTAGAAGAAGAGGACCCGTGGATTTGGCAGTCAAAGTACCCAACTTATATAAAACTATAAACTTATAATTTACCGGTTTTAGCAACCCTTTTTTACACTAACCTGGTACCAATGAAATTCAGGGTTTAGTGGATTTATTGGACATTTTATATGCGCCCCGTCCCTTTGCTATTGGCAATCTAACTTGAGCTGAAAGATCTTCGTTTTGGGCCGTTCAATTTGAATATTCTTGGTATCATTAGATGCGCCAAGCCTTTCTTTGTCGATTAGGTACAAAAACTATTTCATCAAACAGCCCAACATTAAGATGTTTGAACTCAAAGTTAGATTGCCAATGGCAAAGAGGGCGGGGCGCGTATCAAATGTCCCACAATCACAATTGTTAACTAGGCGCATAGCCATTTGATTCTAAAACCACCAACTGATCATCAATGTGCCACAGATAGACAGAAAACCGCAAATATTGTAGAGAAAGAAGAAGTTCATTTCGGACAGAACCCAAGAAATTGTCTAATTCGATGAATTGGAGCAACTCAGGGTATTTCTGAAAAGGCGTCCCTATAGGTCAGACAACAGATCACGTCAATTAAAAAGTTAGTAGCTGGTTAGATCCTAAGCCTAATAGGGATGAACGCTCCAAAAACTGAGTATCCAACTTACTGAGGGCTTGCTCACCCTTTTTCAATGACATTTTTCACACATTCCCGACTTTAAGGCCCAACGGTGGGCCGTACGTGGAATTTGCACTTTTTTGAGGCCAATTGGGCCGAAAATTGAATTTGTACTTGGTTTTTAAAGAAAACGGTTCTATTTTTGGATATTTCATTCGGTTTAATTATCTAAGCGCAACCACACAAAGTTGCCCCAAGGTTAATAACGGATTCAAAGCTCTCTATCCCAGAATGCCTCCAGTTACAAATTTTTACGTCTAAAATATAATATAGATAATATAGATAGCTATCGTCCGAAACAACAGCCAAGCCAAAATGATTTTGTTGTGAATGTGTTAAAAGCTGTTAACTATCAACTAGCCTGTCGATAATAGTAATTGGTAGCTTGTTTATTGTCATGATTAAAAGATGACTGGCAAATACCATGTGCAATGTAGAGGAGCGATATTCAGCAATAAAAGAACGCATATTTCAACCTAAAAGACTTGGATGAATAATTTTAGAGCTAAGGTTTACGCAGGTTTCACTTTTAACGGGTGACCCATGGAACGATGAATTGGAGTCGAAGCAGAAACAAAAACACTGTACATGTTTGAGTGTGGCCGAGCACAGAAATACCCAAGACCTAAAGAAATCAATAGAAAAACCTTTTCAAATTAAGCATAAATTCATTTGTTTTTGTTTTAAATTTGAAAAATGCAGAGGGAAACGGATCACATAGATGAAATTGCCCCTACTATCGCAAACCTTTACAATGCCTTCAAACAGGAGAGGACGACCCAAGTAAGTGCCTGCTCCATTTAACGTGAATCGAAAGAATACATCAAGAAATGGTTCTACTGGATTTATCTACACTCAACCCATCGTCGATACTACCGTCTTTTCATTGTTCTCAAGCTCATCATCGAAGATTTCCAGTCCAGCTCAAAGATTATACGAACGTGTCTTCAACCCCAACCATCGCGTCCTCAATCTTCAGGATCAACAATAATCAAGTAGATTTTTCCTCTCTTGAGGCTTCTCTCTTTTTTTCGTTCCTAGAAATTTCCTATTCAAACGCTCACAGCATTGTTTCTAATTCTTGCAGCCATTTAGTCACTTTTCAAACGTTAGTTAGAATAAAAGCCTATCCGATTTTAGCCATTACAGAGCCCTGGTTAAATGATTCAATTTGTTCGTCTTTGCTTAATCCCTTAAATCAATTAATGTTATTCGTTGTGACGGTGTTTCTGCTGTGAAATCTTGCGCAGGTAGTGTTTCCATTTTACTTGATACATCTTTGTCCTATAACATAACAACATAATGTCTCCTCAAAAATTGCTAGAAACATTTCCACCTCTTGAGTTGTCAATCTTTGGCCTTCTCTCCCAGATCATATTCATAGAATCACAGCATTAAATGCTTTTTGAACTTGTAATTTCATCTCAAAAATTAGCTAGACTGTGAATTATTTTTTGTGTGTTTTGCCTTATTAAAAATTTGTGATTTTTTTTTGCTTTTGTTTCAATTCTCTTTAGTTCAAGTCTAGCTTAGTGTGTTTTTATGCTTGTTCATTCAACAATATCACACTTTATGCTGAACTAAAGTACCGTATTCTCTCTAATAGTATTGCACACCGCCGAGCCGAGTTGATGGCTATTTTACGGTTTCAAAGTTTTCGCAGAAGCTCAACACTCTAATCCCCCACTAGATCTCATCATCAGCTACATTTTCCGACCCCACATCGATAGATTCTGATAAGCGTTTTTCGAGATTTCGAGCAATTTAGGCAACGCTCAGGGTGCACTACTATTTTGTTGTTTTAGGCTACGAAAAGTTGAAGAATGCTCGTCTGGATCAAGCAATGACCAAGGTTTTCGGAGAATTGGACACAAACGTCAATACAAACGTTGCAGAAATCGACGATAAAAGCAATGATTTGATTCTTTTCAACTTTGATGTTCCTCTTGATCTTGCTAGCTAATTGTTACTAGCATCAATGTTATTTATTTTAATTGTTAATATTTAATAGATGTTACAAGAAATTTTCTTTAACAGAAATAATATTTTTATGATCCGAGATGGTTCTTTCAAATTAGGGTCTATGAAAAATGGAATGATCCCTTCTAATAGAGCGACTCTCCAAAAGGATATTGAAAGGAATATAATAGAGCGACCGACCGCCCTAATACAGCATTTCCGGTATTTCGATTTTCTTTCTTGTTAACCTTTGAGTAGATTTGTAACCTGTAGACACGCCAATGCTTTTGAGTACTCGCCCATCTCTTTTGGAGAATAAACGAATATAGTGTACAATCCGAAAAGGTTTATGATTGTGCCAACAACTGAAAAAGATCAATTTTATCTAAGCCTACCATTGCAACACTTACCTGAAATGCAGTGAATAATCGTAAAGACATAGTCCTCGGAATGAACACCGAACTCAACAATCATGAATACAAGGCCAGCAATAGTTAGTCGAGCAGGAAATGTCTATTCTTTTGGTTTACAAACTCGAGCTATTCGCCCACAAATGTTTTTGATGCAATCATCCAGGTGAAACACTCGGTAATTGGAAAGTTATTGAAATTGAAATATTGAAAATTGAAATATTGAAAATATTTTGGCACTCTATTGAGAAACTAATGAGCCGGCCGATGTAGTTTTGGTAACTTTGGTAATTTTGTCAAGAATGGCGAAAGAGCTGCTCATTTTGTGTCAAGATCCCTCGTTTTTGAGAGAAAATTAAGCTTATTGGCACAATACCCAACCACTAGAGTTTATCATCGCTATGGTAAACACCTTGCTACTGCACTACCTGAGCTGTTCGGAAATTGCCACTTCAGGGCAGTCCTTTTTCGTGGCTTTTGGCCTGCACTTTTCCTGTCTCAAAATTTTGTTCAAAAAGCCACAAAAGAGTCATGAATTTGACACATTCGCGACGACGGTAGTTTGGGCGTATAGTCGCGTAGTCGTTACTTTTTTACTGATAATTTGGTGAAGATTCAAAGATAAACTGAACTATTATAGTTCATTCGATAGCGCCGAATCTCCCCTTGCAAACGATTACAAAGTTATCAAGAACTTTCTACAAAATAAATAACAAGTCCTTAAAAGCTCTAGTTGACACTAAAAATAATCGTAATAAAGACGGGCGTATTGTCGTGAATGTGTTAACATAGCCCATAATCTAGCTTTCAAATTTGTTTTGGAAGATTTCTGCTTACAAATAGCGCACTACAACATTATTGACCTTTAATCCTTTCAGAACCTCGGGTCATTTCTTTTACAAAACGAAGACTCTTTCACAAAAAAGCAGGTGAGTTGAGGGAAAAAGGCCAAAACTCCAGCATTCATTAAAAATAAAAAACTATTGCATGGTGGAATTTTCTTTCGATTTCAACTTTCTGATAAAATACTTTGTCTTTACATATTTTGTCTAGTTTCAATGGTTGTTGATATAACTTACTACAAAACTGTAAATTTATGGCTGGGCATTATGTCAGGTAAGACTTGTTTCAACAAACCTTACAAATTGTTATGCTTAAAAGATCTTTAGTCCCATTCTTTCTGTTCAATTGCTATGGCTGCTATCTGATTCTAAAAGTGACACCAAAAGCTTGGAGTACTTACAAACATTATCTCTTCGTCTATCACGTAAAAGTTTTATTTTTTAGGAAAAAATCATTTTTAGCTATCTTGTGTCATTCTCGAATGCGTTTACACAAATATTTTCACGGCTTTGCCGACTTTTCCGGCCCGATGCTTTCTTTATCCGGGTTTTGGGAGTACTGTGTTGCATGTACCAATGCAATATCAAGGAGTAAGGAATAGAATGGATAAATGTATTGATTTTAGAATAATTAGTAAAACTGCTTTTGTATTATTTCAGTTTTCTTACTATTTCAAAGATCCTTTCTGAAAAACTACAATTTAACTAAATCGATTTAAGATTCAGAAGTGGATAGTTTGATGAAATTATTAGGTTGTTCGGATATAAACAAGCGTTGCTAAACTTTTTGTTGTGAGAGAAGCTTTTAAAACATATCTTTCTGTATTTAAAAGTACGTTATCTTGCGCATATTTGGAAACTTTTGAAACGGATAATTTGTTATTTTTAAGATCTTTTTTCTTGCTTTAGATGGCTTCAAATATCTCAAGTTCGACTTCAAACTGAGCAAAACAGTCGGGGAATCCCATCGAGATTTGGTCAAAGCATTTGAGAATGATGTATTGTCCGAAAGCCGATGCCGAGCCTGGTTCCAACGCTTTCGGAATGGTGATGAAAGTCTCGAGGATCATGAACACTCTCGTCGACCTCAAGGGATAGACAACGATATTTTGAGAGCTGCAATCGAACCGGAGCCTTGTCAAACGACGCGTGAACTACCTCAACAGTTTCTATGTCCAAATTCTACCATTGATGAGCATCACCACGCGATGGGAAAGACGATCCGATGTGGGCAATGGCTTCCTCACGAGTTAAGCAGTGCAAAAAAGGCTTCACGGGTCGCTATTGCCGGAATTCTCATCCGCCACGCTAAAGATCATGGCTTTTTTTGATTCTATCATTACTGGAGATGAGAAGTGGATCCATTTCGATAATCCTATTCGAAAACGGAAATGACTAGGACCAGGAGAACGGCCAAATCCAAAAACCGGACATTCATGGGAAAAAGATCATGCTCTCAGTATGGTGGAATAACAAGGTCCTTGTGTATTTCGAGCTTCTACAAACCGGCCAAACAGTCACATCCGACCTCTACATACAGCAACTTGATCGGGTCAATGAAGCTCTCATTCGTCAAGAAGTAGACACATCAAAGATAAAGTCCATCCATGACAACGCTAGACCTCAAGTTGCAAAAATCACTCCAAAAACTGGAGAATCTAGGATAGGAGCCTACCACATCCGGCGTATTCTACCGATTTAGCTCCCTCATATTACCATTTATTCCACTCAATGCAAAACCTTTTGGCTAATGAGAAATTCAAAACCCGTGAAGATATCTCAAATTGGGTTGCCAAGTTTTTTGAGTCATAGCCAGCTGAGTTTTTCAAGAGCGGCATCAATTCTTTGTGCAAAAGATGGCAAGAAGCAATCAATAATAATGGTGAATTTACTTTGGATTAAACTGTGTTTTTTCTGTTTTTAAGGTAGATTTTGTCGTTTTAGTAAAACGCTCGTTTATATGCGAACAACCTAATAGTTTGAACTATTCAGCATAATCTATTCAAGTATTCAAGTTATTGCTATTCAAGCTATTGCTATAATAACAACGAGTCCAGTAATATAGTAACATTTAGACAGTGGCCTGGGGTCTACTGGCAACTATGATGTCATCGATGGGAGCCGCACTCTTTCAGCGTCAACAAACGATCCTTCCCAAAGATCATTTACTCCTTTTTGGCCCATATCTGCAATTCGGCGTACATGTACTAGCTGTGGCCCACGCGGTCTTTCTAACAGGAGTTATGCTTTGGATCCTTGTCAATCTCAATTCTGATCTCGCAAAACAAGAAGGTCTCAAGGTTGTTGTTTTTTGAAGAGCATCGAATTTACAAACTGAATCTAGATATACCCAGAACTGCGTCAGTTTTATGAATATCCTTATTCGCTTTGCGCTGATGGCTCCCTTGGGACGCTGATGACCATTTTGGGGCCGGCTTTTCTAGTGGGCGAAGTTCTTTTGGCTTCTTGTGAGTGTTGGAACAGTTTATCAAAACAATGTGAGCTTGCTTTTTTACAAATATTTAGCTTTTTTTAGATCTGATTATTCCAACTTATTGGAGTCTTCATTCCCAAAGGCATTTGATGAGTGCCAAGACTTTGGAAATGAAAAGCAAAATGTTCCGAAAATTGAATATTTTGGTATAAATGCAAGCAGCAATTTTACGATCAGAAATAATTTAGTGTGCTGTTTTCCTTTTGGTGCTTTTTGTTCCCGCAGCTTGGCTTTGTGGCGTGCATTTGTTTGAGCTAACCGGGATTGCAGGTAAGTACCTAACTACACTGCTGGACATAATTTTAATGGCAGTCGAAATTTTACGATCTTTTTTGAAAATATTGAATATCCAATAAAATTGTCTTTTAGACATCATTACTATCATAATTTTACATCTTTAACTGGAAAAATCCAGGAGATGATAATTGGAACTTTTAAAGAAAAATAAAATTTATTCAAAAAGTGCCTCTAGCAAGTGGTCATAATTTTAAAGGGATTTGAAAAAAGTTAACAATTTTAACAAAATGAGCAATAATGATAAAAATTAACAAATTAATAATCGATTGGACCTCCGTGACGCTGAATTACTTGAAAAAAGTCTATTGTCCATGCTGCCCACAAGGCTATTAACGAGATTCTGATCGACGCTCCGCCAAGCTTTAATAATTGCCTTTTTAAGCTAGCTGATGCTTCCATAAGTCTTATTTCCTTCATAAAGAATTTTGACCATATAGCCCCAAATGTTTTCTTGGGGATTTAAATCCGATGAATTGGCTGGCCAGTCCAAGAGTGGGATTCCCTTCCCATTCCACTCGAGTTCATTTTCTTTGGAACAAAAACCAATTTGGTCAGTCCGGTCAATGAGAAGGCCGCCCAGCAGATTACTCCTCCTCCTTTGAAGTTTCTCCGCGAAAAGTGCAGTTTGTCTTTACGTAGGTCGTGCCAATAGTAGCAATCATCATCGGGCCCATCACAATTGAATTCTTTTCATCGGACCAAAGGATCTAAAGCAATGAAAAATGTTCAAACACAAATTTAATTGGCTTACTGAGCTCCAATCAATTCGCGGTTCTTGTCTGCGAAGTCCAACCGCTAATAAAGGGGGCTCTTCGCATGCGCCTGCGAGCGATCAACTTGCTTTTTCATAAAAATTTTCGAATTGTCCTTGAGGAGACTCCCAGATTCAGATCTGCTTTGATTTTTGAGGAGGTTGTTGTTGAGTTTGAGGCCGTTCGAATGATTGCTCATCGACCCCTTTTGTAGTTTTCGGTTTCCTTCCGGAATGCTTTTTGATACCATAGCCAGTTGGATCCCTGACATAAGAATCGACTAAAGAAGGAGATCGGTTGATTTCTGCCGCAATATCGCGGTTACTCCAGTTGTTCAGATTCAAGGCATCAATGATGCCTTTTTCTTGATCGGAAAGTCTTTTTCCTTTACCCATATCTAAAAGATGACCTGTAAACATTTAAAAAATGAAAAAAAGAGGCATTAAATGATGAAGGCAAAATTGTTCTTTTTTCAAATGCCTTTAAAATTATGACCACTTGCTAGAGGCACTTTTTGAATAAATTTGGTTTTTCTTTAAAAGTTCCAATTATCATCTTCTCGATTTTCCCAGTTAAAGATGTAAAATTATGATAGTAATGATGTCTAAAAGACAATTTTCTTGGATATTCTATATTTTCAAAAAAAAGATCGTAAAAATTCGACTGCCTTTAAAATTATGTCCGGCCGTGTATAAGATTTTTATTGGTTCTAACAATATCTATGCTATCTTGTGCTATTTCCAGACTTGAACATCATTCCCGCGCATATCGCCGCCACTCATGGAACGATGAACACAATCACAATCTTGCTTGTTTATGATTCGTATCGAGTATTCACTTTATTGCAAATCAAGAAGCTTAACAATTCTATTTTCTCGATATTTGGCCTGAAACCATTCAACATCCAAGCTGGAAATCAAAAACGACGCGGAGAATCAACAAATCAAACAAGGCCATCGGAGAGAAATGTTATGGTTAGCCCGCAAAGACCGAGACTATCTGTGCTAAAATTTTAGCACGGCTGCTGTGATTTACAAATCAAGATTACAGATTTACATCCAAAAGTAGCTCCAAGTTAAGAAAACGTGAAACGACTGCGGAAAAATACTAATTTCGCTCAATTGTTGTCTCACCAGAATACCCTTCTCTCCTCTTTTTCTCTAAATACCTTTTTCTGAATCTTGTTATTTAAATATATTATTAAATAATTTGTTTCTCACTGTTAAGCCAGTATTAATACAATTTAAGTCAGTTAAATTGTTGCTTTCTTCCCGTTTTGAACAAATCTTGGTCCATTTTGCTCCAATCCTTTTAGCTCCGCTATTGAATTCATGAAAGTAACCCGTTGGGTTGAAGTAAAATTCCAAATAACGGATAAATTGTGGTTGGTTAACCGAAGTTTGTACGATAAGGGGTAAAAGACTGAAAGTTAACGCAGAAACCAGTGTTAAGACAAGAAGTTTTTAGTGCACTGTGGTCACTTTAAATAAAGTTGTAATATTTGTCTGAGAAAAGGATATATAAACCCATTATGACCAAAACTACAGTAGCAGGAAATGCAGGGTAGTCCTTGTGTAACCTTGCGTACTCGGCTACCTTGGATCAAAGATTATGCAGGTCTTGTTTCCAATTGTTTCCAATTCCACAGGTTCACCTTGATGCATTTTAGCTCCGCTATTGAATTCATGCAAGTAACTCGTTGGGTTGAAGTAAAAGTCCAAAAAACGGATAAATTGTGGTTGGTTAACCAAAGTTTGTACGATAAGGGGTAAGAGACTGAAAGTCTTCACAGAAACTAGTGTTACGACAAGAACTTTTTAGTGCACTGTGGTCACTTTAAATAAAGTTATAATATTTGTCTAAGGGAAAAGGATATATAAACTCTTTATGACGAAAACTACAGGAACAGAAAAACCAGGCTAGCCCTTGTGTAACCTTGCGTACTCGGCTACCGCGCTTGGATCAAAGATTAGGCAAGTCTTGTTTCCAATTGTTCCCAATTCCAATTGTTTCCAGTTCGAATTGTTTCCAATTCCATAGGTTCACCTTGATGCAATTGTTTTGGTTCGACAATAAATTTTAAATACCTTTTGACCAGATCCTTTTTGCAGGCATTCTTTTGAGTTCAAAAGAAAGTATAAAATTACGGGATTATGCCAATTTCGAAATAAAACTGAATTTCTGTGTTAGAAATAGGGACTTGGACTTGTAAATTTGAATTTGCTAAGAGGTAGTCAGCAATTTAACTCTTGTTTTTTCAGGGAACTTTTGATTTCGGCAGGAAATGAAGAAGCGATCCAGTTCCAAGCTTATGTTTACCGAAATCGAATTTACCCCACACTTTTATGGATAAAGATAAACTAAACTAGATCACAAGCGAGATTCAAGTTTCCTCTTTCTTAGTTGATGAATGGGGAAATCCAAATTGGATCCAAATTGGGACTTCAATTTGAGGATTTATACCAAGGTTAATTTGGTTGATAGCAAGTCTAACAATATTACTCAAGCATTGCTGATTTCATTTCCGCTGAGAACACTGACTAGCTTTTGACCTTTCAAAGTAATTACTTGAGTTGTCAGTTAGTTTGGGTTGTGAAAACGTAGGCAAAAAAGAACGTACTGATTGTTGCGTCAAAGGGCTGATAAGAAAACAGAAATCAAAAGGAAACTGAATGTTTTACGTCTGTTCTTTGGTTCAAAGTAATCAATGATTACTTTATAGGCTGAACAAACAAACTTAGAATGTCGAAGATGGCAAAGGTGGTGTGAAAGCTTTTTCAGCTTTCAATTTTTTTCAACCTTTTTTAGACTTCAATTTCCCAGGCTCTAAGAAGAAACCTTGAATTAAAAAGTACTCTTGGTGTTTTGCCATTTGTCTTCTGAAGTATTCTGAAGCGACAATGAGGAATATTTTCAAATTGCGGCTTTTTTTCTTTCTTTCCACCTTTGTGGTTTCTTTCCTTCTCTTCCTCAGTTTATCAGTGTTTTCAAGCCAGAAGTACAACCAGATTTTGATTCATTTAACCCATTCAAAATGCAAAACAAATGAAAATGAAACTTTTTCAAAACGAGGAGTGACAATTCAACTAACGACTGCAATGAAAAGACAAAGAGTTATCATCGGAAATGAAATCAGAAAGTTTAGAAGTAAATATTTGAATGCCCTTTCGATGACAGTTAACTTAACAACCAGCAAGTATAAATACCCAACTTTAAGCCTCAACTACAGCACAAATTTGTATTTCTCAACTCCAATCCGAAATGAAAGTCGCTGTTGTGGCCCTTATTTGCTTCTTCTTCTTGATCGATCCACTCGTTTCAGCCACCGAAGAAAAGGAAAATGCACCAATGAGTGGGTTTTTGCCATATGCATTCCTGGACAATCACTTCCTCTATTCATTAACATTCCAATATTTCAGGTGTTCAAAATGATGTGGTCGACATGTTCCGTCGTGCTGATCGTCATCGTCCAGCCTCTTGCTGCCCCGACTCTTGCATTGGAAATTGTAACTCCGGAAAGTGCCCCTACTGGTGCGCTCAGCCAAATAATTGCTGCTGATCCCACTCAATGAACTTTTCCTAACAATTTCCACATTTTTTAATAAAACTTTATTTCAAGGTTTTAAGCTGGGTTTCTTTCTGGCAATAAATAATCAATTCAAGTACCAATATCGAAAAATCAGAGAAAAATATCGCGAATGATGCAGATGGGGAGATCATTCATGTTGAACTTAGGATTATGAACGAGATATCGCATTATTCAGTTTTGTTGTCTGTTTGCCGAATAAAAATGACAAGAAAATATTTATTTGCTAGAATTCTCTTATTTTCCTTCGCAACTTCCAAGACAGAAAAGAAAGCCATTTAGATAGGTGACATCTTTGTCCATGCAAATTGCTTGCCGGTCTCCTGTGCAGAAACCCCAACTGTGCCCTGATTTACTCTGAAGTTGAAACTAGGTATTTCGTTAAATTACCGACTTCTTACCTGGCAACATTTTTGTAAGTTATAAATGGGCTTTGCTGATCTACACATCGAGTTGCAGGCGGCAAAGTAACGTGGATATCGGAGGCCCGATGGTTCTTGGCATTGTAGACTGCCTGAGAAAATTTACAAGAGCTTTATGATGTTTGAAAGTCTAACCGATCAAGCAAACGAGAATTAAGCAGAGAAGAGTTTGTCGCATTTTCTTGAGTGAGCTTTGAGCAATGTGATGGAAATTTTTATTTGAATAAGCTTTTATATTAAAGCTGGAAATCACGAGACTCTAGTTTGTTTTGTATGAAAAGTGTAGCTTTTGATCTCCATTCAAAAAGTGTTTGTTGGACGAGGACACAAGTTCGAAAAGCTTTTGAGTGAAGCTTTGATCAAATGATTTTTATTTGTGGAGGCGGATTTGTCAAATCTGGTGTTTGAAGTCAATTTTATTGTAAAAGAGAAGTGATCTCACACAGATTGTGCAAAAGTTTCGCCTAAAATCATATAGTTGCAAAAAGCTAAGATACTACGTGACGAAAAACACAAAATTGCTATCATTATCCTAATCTTTACCATGAAATCTAAGCCTGCTAAACCATGACTCGAGTTCAATTCAAAATTTTATCAATATTCAGCTTTTCCTGAACAAATTTCTCTGATTCATCCAAACAATCAGAGCATTTTATGTCCGAGTGCCGATTTCCTTTATGCTTTTTGCGTTGCTTTTCCGGCTTTTTTACCCTACGGGCAAACATCAAAACGATTCAACAATAACACTTGGAAACGCATTCCTCGAAAGATACTTTTTTGATTTTGAAATCTTTTATTTCATTTGATCTAACTCGATGCGATAATTTTTTGTGAATAACATGAAATTCAATAACATGAATTTTGTGAATCTATTCATTATTCACTATCTATTAACAGTTCTCCTATTTTTACCATCCATGGTTTATTCAATTACTTGCTATGAGTGCACAAGTTCCCAGGTTCAAAATAATTGAAAAGTAAAAAATCTCGACCACGGAAGGATTCGAACCTTCAATCTTCTGCTCCGTAGGCAGACGCGTTATCCATTGCGCCACGCGGCCATGTCGGCATCGACTCCATAAATGTCTTTTCAATCAAGGAACCTTCCCTCGGGCGATTGACAGGTGTCAGAAAAATGCCAAAACTGGATTCCTTTGTCTAATTATGGTCAAAATTGGTTTCTCTTTGTCTGAACATGGCGGCCGCGTGGCGCAATGGATAACGCGTCTGCCTACGGAGCAGAAGATTGAAGGTTCGAATCCTTCCGTGGTCGAAAATTTTTGTCTAATCCTTGTTACAGGGAACAGATTGCAAATTGGCGGCCTCTTCATGCAGATATGGTTTTTTTGGGTGTGTAAAGATAGCGGTTTTGGATGGAGGAGTTGATAGAAGTTTGTGTTAGTTGGAAACAGTCTTAGACGAATTTTCAGTGGGTAATTTCTATGACGAAGAGCGTCATATCGGTTTGATGATGCGCGGATGCGCACTTCTTCCAATGGGAGGAGTTGATATGTGTGAACAGTCGAGTATATTTGGATACAGAGTTTTAAAGGTTTTATCCGAAGAATTTAAATCTTTAAAGGAGTTTTAGTGTACTTGTTTCAACGACTATTGCAACACGTCGACAAATCGACGCTTTGCATTCTTTTTCTTTATTTTATGGAGATTATATTTATTAACTTGAATATGTTCTCAAAAATTTAAAAATCTAATAAAGCTTTTCGATAGATTCACTTAATCACACGAAAAATAAGAAACGACGAGTGCGAGAAGCAAAATTTGTCTCCAGTCGTTTGCTACCTTGCTTTGCTGAGTTGTTGGTGAAAAGATTGGTTCAAATCTAAAATGATAATGATAAATGATCAAAAACAGTCAGTTTTTAAATGCAAATCTTGTCTATCTTTGAATTTTGTCTATCAAAACTCACTTAATCAACAAAGGCCTTTGACAATTGTTAACCAATTCAAAGGGACTCGTCCTGCAAAACCATTGATAACTCAAAGAAACAGCCCAAGTAGGAATCTCCACGTAACAAACAGTACTCTCATTTATTAATCTGAATATTCAAATTTATTTTTGAACCTGCGCAAGAGCAAACCTTTGTGTTGTCAAATTCCCATTCTCTGTGTAACTGATTGTTAGATTCGAGTCGCCAGGAATGGGATTCAGAAATGTGAGAGCAATTCCTTGAAAATCTTTCACATCTAACTAAAAAGCTTTTTAGAAAGTTTGAAAGCCTTTTATCATTCAATATAAAGCTAAATTTCACACAGAAAACCTACATATTGAATAATAAACGAATAGGTTTGTGGATCTGGCGAGTAATCGATATCCGTGTATTGGGGAGCTATCAAAAGCCCGGGAACAGGAGAATTCATCGCCAGAGTCAAATTTGCATCAACTATAAGATCTAACTTTGAAAGACAATCTGTATTACCTAATAATTTAAAAAATTCTATAATTATCAATATTTAACTAACCTTGCTGTTGGCATCGGAAGAACACGCTCGCCGACGGATCGACAACTTTTGAAACAAGTTTAATCACGACAAATTCTCCAAAAATGAAACTCGGCAGCGCAGATTTTGTCGTAATTGGATCACAGAGTGAATCGCCACTAAAGATTTTGAAATGAAATCAAATTTTCGGCAACTTACCCATAAATCTTATTATTGTTGTCCAGAGTTGTGCCCTGATAGATTTCAATTGGAAGCGCAGCACTCGGAAAGACTAAATCCATCCCGTAGAGCCCCAAATAGTCTCCAGGGAATGGAGTTGTTCCTCGATACAAGATTTTGATATCATTTCCATTTCCAATCAGTGGTACAGAGAACAGATTTTGTTTTGAACAATCATTTGTAGGTGAGTAAACAGAGATTTGGGGGTCTGAAAGATTTAAGATTTTACAGGGTGTCTCAAAAGTTCTAGCACAACATTTGCAGCTAGCAAATGCCTAACTTATTTCAAAAGTCGTAAGTTGTATAGAGATTTAAAGCCCGGAATCTTGGCTATATTTATTGCGTTGATGGATTGAAAACTGCGGCTGTTGTCATATGTCACGGTTTGAGCACTTTCTTCGAAAGAAACCCATTTTGGTGTCATGGAAAAGTTGTAGAGAATCAAAAACTAAGCTTATATCCAAATTTTCAGAACGATTCAAAAAATGGTTTTCAAGAAATGCCAAATTTACGAATTTTCACAAAACTTGCATTTTAAGCGAAACTACTAAGTGTATCTTTTTGGAAATTTGGCTATAAGCCTAATTTTTGATTCTCTACGAATTTTCCATTGACACCAAAATGGGTTTCTTTTGAAGAAAGTGCTCAAACTGGGACATCTCCAGTCCTCCATTTTTGAGTCTCATACTTGTCTCACACACAAACCAAAATCCTACCACGAAAGAGGAATCCGCAAATTGCCTGTAAAATGGGCAGAAGTCGTCAATAATAATGGAAATTATTTGGAATGAATCCATGGTTTTATGTTGAAGAAATTTTAGTTCAAAGTCCCGCAGTTTTCAATTCACCAACCCAATACATACCAAAAGCTTTCGAATAGGAGTCACAAAGCTCATGTTTGCTTTGCCGTTTGCAAACAAGTTTACCGGAAAGTGACCGAGTAGTGCTCACTCAAAAACTTGTCATATGAGTGACTCCAATTCGAAAGCTTTTGGTATGTAAATATAGCCGAGATTCCGGGCTTTAAACCTCTATACAAGACTTACCATTTTTGACATAAGTTAGAAATTTGCTGCTTTTACAAAAGGTTGTACCTGAACTTTTGGGGCACCCTGTAGTAGATCGGTTTTTTCGAGAGTTTCAGAGTTAATGGGTTTAAAAGACTATTTAATGTCTAGTCGAAGCTGTTCAGTTCAAATAATAGATCGAATCAGGTCCAATGAATGAAATACAGACTTAAAGTACAACTGACTTGCCGCAACAATAACTCGGAATCCCGGTCGATAGAGATCATTCGTTTTGATGAGTCGAATGGTGGCAAAGTTTGAAGTAAACGTGAAATTTGCTGGTCCGTTAAAGCTAAAAAGTAAGTTACGGGTAAATCTTCAAGATTTTGCTACCTTGTCATAGCCAAGGCTCCATTCGCTAGTTCACCATCGTAGACATCCAACAAGTAGCCATCACTCATTGATAGAAAAGTACTTGTGATTTGTGAACTGAAAGTTCTTAGTAAATTAAAGCAAAGATCTAAACATTTAAGTGCTCACCCAGTACAATTTGATCCATCAAGTCGATAAATAGCTGTATCATATTTATAGGTAAGAGTTTCTCCCATCAAAACAATAAACTCTTGGCTGCATAGATCGATATCAATTTGTTGGATTTTCACTGAATTTTTGTAGATTTTGTTTTAAAATATTAACTCACGTGGAAGTGCTTTTACAGAGACTGAGTATCCTGTGCTGTCCCACATTTTGTAGAGATCGGTGACGAGCGAGTTCGAGAATGAAACTTGTAACCAGTCATGACTTGTTGTATCTGATAAAGAACCGGTGATGAATCTAAAATGGGTAATGGAAGCAGACTTTTGAAGTAGCGGCTTACCTATCCTTTGTGGAATCCGTAACAACCAAATTACTGCTCATTGACGCCGAGTATTGGACATCAAACTGTAGAATAGAATCTCGGTCGAAGGTACTAAAATAAAATCTGACTTGAAAATTCCAATACCAAAGATGTTCCTTACATTGTTGAGTTACAAGCCATTGGTGAGCAAAATGGGAACTTCGCAACCCAACCATAAGAGATACTTGCGGTTTGATTGACGGTTAAAGTGATTGACGATTGAGGACAGGTGCAATCTGAAATTACAGACACACTAATTCTCTTGGTTCTACTTACTGATGGCTCTTGCTTGTCCAACCATATAAGTGTACTCTTCCAGGGAATCACTTTGGAAGACAACTTCCATGCGATTACTTACCCCATAAACTAGCCAAGGAATGTCAGATCCGCTGTGTGATGGAAACTAAAAGACTTGCTTTGAAAAGTTGACAATAGGTGACTTGCTTTAAACCCCAGCTTTAAGACAAATACAAGATGACCGGAAAGTTTGTTACTTTTGAAAGCGATGCCACTAAATTCAGGTTCAAAAAAGACAAAGTGAAAGAGGAGAAGAAAGGAGAAGGAGAAGTGAAAAGGAAAGTGAAAGGAGAAGTGGAAACAATAGTAAAATAACTTTTTTTATTAAAATTAAGCGTTTTTCATAAAGATTTATCAAAAAGATGGTTCTATTATCCATTCAAGCAAAGCTCTCTGTTCTCCAGGCTGGTTGAGCTGACAAATCCAGTGATCAAAAGAAGTCGAAGCACAAATAAAGCTATCCAGTTTTATATTCAAAAAGAGGAGATATTTTTCTTTAAAACCAGCCGTTCTACAACTAAATTGAGCTAGAAATAACAAATTTACAGTCATTAGAATTGAGAGCTTTTTGAAAAAGATCCTTTATTGAAACCGTTGAGTCTAAATTTTCTCAAAACTTGCTTTCATATAATAAAAATAGTTAACTTTTTAAAAAATTAAGTTTATTACATTTGATCTTTTGTCAATCGAATTTTATGGTGTTTCTTTTAAAAGTAATAGAACTTTCCGGTCATCCTGTAGGGTATTAACCCTATTACTAACTAACTTTTAAGTCTTAGCAGCCGTGCATTAAAAATACGAGCCTGATTTGCTTACATCCAAGCAACTCACCGCCAAATTGGCTCCTCCAACCGTGATCACATCACAACATTTCTCAGTGACAAAATGATAAAAACTGATCATCAGTTGATGGTTAAAAGGCGGGTTTTCAAAAACCCATTTACAATTGGAATTCTTGTGATAACCAAAAGTTGAATTCACATCTTGTGCCGAGAAGTCAATTATGCTCGTCTTACTCATGTCAAAAGCACCAACATTTTGACATTGATCAAATGCTGGAGTGTTAGTATCTAAATAACCGAGAAGTCAAGCAAAAAAAGAATCAGCCGACCATTGTAAGCACTGATAACAATGTAGTAATAATAATCAGCATATGGATCGTCATCGGTGTCTTCAACGAAGGTGAATGAATAAGAAAGGGTCAACTCGTTTCGATAATAATAGGTTTTAAAGTCACCAATCTCTTTGATTCCACTAAAAAGTTAGAGTTTAATTTGAAAGTAGAAAAGTTGCAATGATCAAGAATCAGACAAAACTTACGATAATAGTGTGGTTGTCACCGAGGACTCATTAGCTCGAATACCCGTCATGTTCAACAATTGTTGAGGGTTTGATTGAAACGAGTAAACGATCATTCGAATATTTGTTGCTTTGTTTGTTTGCAGCTTCGTGATACAAGAGGTGTTAAATTGGGCGCCGAGATCAAAAGTGTGATCGAAATATTGCCGAGAGAAATCTGAATGCAAGGATTAGCTTCGATAATTAGATAATTACTTCGATACCCAATTAGCCAAAATGGTTATCTTTAGTTTTTTATAGCTATTACGTCCGATTAAGAATGTATTCAAGTAGGACTTTCGATTTGAAATGTATTCTTGATTAAAGGGGTACTCTGGCCTTAAAGTTAAGAATCGCGGTCATTTCTATATTATTTGATGCGTTTTAGTCATCTCTACAACTATTTCCTATATGAAAAACAAGGTTTCCAATCGAGAAATGAAGAAAAACGCAATTTTTGCTTTCCGTCCCACCCTAAAACGTGGATATTTGGGCGAAAAATATATAAAGGTTCCGTCCAATTGCATTTTAGCCCTTGCGTTCTTTTCTTTTGCATGTATTTTCTCAAATTTAACAGCAATCTTAAATATTTGTTGTTTTTTAATAGAAAACATTACATTCTAGAAGAATAATTTTTAAAAAATGAAAATCAGACTTAAGAAGACGTGAAAAACAGATGCCCAATTTAACACTGACTTTCCTTAGGCCGGAGTATCCCTTTCAGAATTTATCGAATGAATTGTGTAAAAATGTGAAATACTCAATGCAAAATGATGCTAATCAAATTCTTTTTTAGGCATGTAATAGCGTTTTCTATGTTGGTGTTATATTGAATCATCGACAGCTGAACGGCCCACACAATAGTGGTGTTTTCCCTTTGATAGGTGCTAAAGGTATCTTGAAAAGATCTTAAATTAAGAAAACAGTAAAAACTTATCGCAACCAGTTAACAAAAAGGAAAAAAGACCTCAATGTCAGTGTTTGCGCGTTCTACACTCTCCTGTGACTGCGAATATCTAGGTTTTCCGTGAATCAATTTGCAGTTAGATTAAATTATTCCTTATTTTAACTATTTATTCATTAGATATTCAAGCAAATTTGCATTGAGCATTTCACATTTTTACACAAATGATTTGATAAATTCTTACCGTATTCTCTCAAATAGTAGTGCACCCTGGGCGTTGCCTAAATTGCTCGAAATCTCGAGAACCGCTTATCAGAACCTATCGATGTGGGGTCGGAAAATGTAGCTGACGATGAGATGTCGTGGGGGATTAGAGTGTTGAGCTTCTGCGAATACTTAGAAACCGTAAAATAGTCATCAACTCGGCTCGACGGGGTGCACTACTATTAGAGAGAATACGGTAATCGAATGTAACATATATAAAAACAGTGAGCAAAAGACCTACGATCAGAAACCAGCGTATAGAATCCACCACTAATCGAGTCGAGATCAACGATTGCCTCTTTTGAACAATTATTGTACAGTTGAGTTGTTTTATCTAGTGCTTGTTATCATAAACTAAACAGTTATCAAAACACCAAGTCTGGTAACTTTCCCAAGAATTCCTGGCCAAGCTGTGCTTGACTTGGTTGGGCTGAAGAAAAGATACAAGACATCTAAAGGTAAATTTGGAAAAGGTTTGACTTTAAAAACCTACCCGATTTATCATAGTAATCTACTGGGAAATAGTTGTCAATTGCAGTGCCAGTGACCGAGTATTTCGGAGAGCTAAAATAACAATTGAAATAACAACAAACTAACAGCAAAATATCTAAAATAACTAAAATTAGCTATTTCTAAAAACTCTTTCCCCAACCTAGAGCAATTTCGAAAGTCGTCAACATCACAGAAAAATAGGTAATCATTTTGATAATCAGTTACAAATCGATAATATTGCACACCGAAAGCATAGTTCGAATTCGGATTCACGCGAACTGATAAGAGTTTGCTAAATCAATTGTGGATTGGGAAATTTGTTTGAAACTTACACTGGGTCAGCATTCACATAAGGATCCGGATAAGTTGGAGTTTTGAAAGCAATGGATTCATCTCCGAGCGTACAAAGCTAGGACAGGGGTATTTCTGGATTGAAGCACAATTTAATTTAACGATAACGAAGTTAACAAGTACAAGTATATAAGTACAACAATATATCAAAAACAATGCCAATTCTGAAAGAGAATTTGTGCATTCTAGAGCTACGTTTTTGCTACCAATTTGAAAAAAAAGGAAAAAAAAACTCACCTGATTAATACAATCTTGACATTCAATTACCAATACACAGAAAGCACTCAGTAGAAAAGAGAGATTTAAGAAAAATAAAGATTGCATTAATTTTTTAGTCAAAAATACTATGATCAGAAACTATTCACTGCCCTTTGCTTCCGATTTGCCGTCGCTTTTTTGAGATAAGAGAAATAGCGTTTGAATCAATTTGGGTCAGAAAGAGGAAACTTGAATCTGGCTTGCGGTCTGGTTTAGTTTATCTTTATCCATAAAACGGAGGTAAATTCGATTTCTGTAAACATAAGCTTTGTAACTGGATCCTTTCTTCATTTCCTGCCGAAATCAAAAGTTCCCTGAAAAAACAAGAGTTAAGTTGCTGACTACCTCTTATCTAATTCAAATTTACAAGTTCAAATTCCTATTTCTAACACAGAAATTCAGTTTTATTTCGAAATTGGCATAATCCCGTAATTTTATACTTTCTTTTGAACTCAAAAGAATGCCTGCAAAAAGGATCTGGTCAAAAGGTATTTAAAATTTATTGTCGAACCAAAACAATTGCATCAAGGTGAACCTATGGAACTGGAAACAATTGGAAACAAGACCTGCCTAATCTTTGATCCAATTACGGTAGCCGAGTACGCAAGGTTACACAAGGACTAGCCGGGTTTTCCTGTTAATGTAGTTTTGGTCATAATGGGTTTATATATCCTTTTCTCAGACAAATATTACAACTTTATTTAAAGTGACCACAGTGCACTAAAAACTTCTTGTCTTAACACTGGTTTCTGCGTTAACTTTCAGTCTTTTACCCCTTATCGTACAAACTTCGGTCAACCAGCCACAATTTATCCGTTATTGGAACTTTTACTTCAACCAAGTACCTGCATGAATTCAATAGCGGAGCTAGAATGCGGAAGGATTCGAGCAAAATGGACCAAGATTTGTTCAAAAAGGGAAGAAAGCACCAATTTAAATTTAACTGGTTTAAATTGTATTAACACTTGCCTAGCAGTGAGGAACAAATTTAAATAATGTATAACAAGATTCAGAAAAAGGTATTCAGAGAAAAAGGGGAGAAAAGGGTATTCTGGCGAGACAACAATTGAGCGAAATTAGTATTTTTCCGCAGTCGTTTCACGTTTTCTTACTTTGGAACTACTTTCGGATGTAAATTTGTAATCTTGAATGTAAATCACAGCAGCGGTGCTGAATTTTTAGCACAAATAGTCTCAGCTTTGGGGGCTAACCATAATATTTCTCTCCGATGGCCTTGTTTGATTTGTTGATTCTCCACGTCGTGTTTGATTTCCAGCTTGGATGTTGAATGGTTTCAGGCCAAATATCGAGAAAATAGAATTGCTAAGCTTCTTGATTTGCAATAAAGGTAACACTCGATACGAATCATAAACAAACAACATTACGATTGTGTTCATCGTTCCATGAGTGCCGGCGATATGCGCGGGAAAGATGTTCAAGTCTGGAAATAGGACAAGATAGCATAGATATTGTTAGAACCGATAAAAATCTTATAGTTAGATACTTACCTGCAATCCCGGTGAGCTCAAGCAAAAGCACGGCAGCAAGCCAAGCCGCGGGAACAAGAAGCCCCAAAAAGAAAACAGCACACTAAATATTTTGATAGTAAAATTGCTGCTTGCATTTATACCAAAATATTCAATCTTCGAAACAATTTGCTTTTCAATTCCAAAGTCTTGGCACTCATCAAATGGCTTTGAGAATGAAGACTCCAATAAGTTGGAATGATCAGATCTAAACAAAGCTAAATATTTGTAATAAGTAAGCTCATATTGTTTAGATAAACTATTCCAACACTCACAAGAAGCCAAAAGAACTTCGAGCACTACAAAAGCCAGCCCCAAAATGCTCATCAGCGTCCCAAGGGATCCATCAGCGCAAAGCGAATAAGGATATTCATAAAACTGACTCAGTTCTGGGTAAATCTAGATTTAGCTTGTAAATTAAATGCTCTTCAAAAACAACAACCTTGAGACCTTCTTGTTTTGCGAGATCAGAATTGAGATTGACAAGGAGCCAAAGCATACCTCCTGTGAGAATGACCGCGTGGGCCACAGCTAGTACATGCACGCTGAATTGCACATATGGACCAAAAAAGAGTAAATGATCTTTGGGAAGGATCGTTTGTTGACGCTGAAAGAGTGCGGCTCCCATCGATGACATCATAGTTGCCAGTAGACCCCAGGCCACTGTCTAAATGTTACTATATTACTGGACTCGTTGTTATTATAGCGATAACTTGAATAGCAATAGCTTGAATGATTATTGCTGAATAACTCAAACTAATTTAGATCAAACTATCCGCTTCTGAATCTTAAATCGATTTAGTTAAATTGCAGATAAATCTAATCAAAATTGAAAAGGTTTACTTTTCCGAAAGGATCTTGGAAATATTGGGTTGGTGAATTGAAAACTGCGGGCTTTTTTTGCGGGACTCGCAGATAAAGAAAACAACAGCATTGAACCAGCTGAAGGGGGGTTTGGTTACTTAAATATTTCCTCAAATTATTCCGAAAAAATTATGCTTCCGGCTTTTTATTTTTTGGTATTTTTCTTCACTTCTTCTATTGCACTCGACAATCTGCCACCGGGACATATTCGTCATGTCTTCATGCTTCATGAGTTCCTACAAGAGCACAGTGCAGGCTTGGCAGCTGCTAATCATAAAAAGATATATGGGGAGGACTCACCTTCTGAAAGAACGTGTCGAGTATGGTTTTCCAAGTTTCGATCTGGGGACAAATCTTTGAAAGATGCAGAGGACCGTGGAGCGGCACCCCAACTGGATGACTCCAAATTACTCGAACTTATTACCAACGATCATCGGGTATCATCGCGTGAATTGGGAGAAGAGTTAGGGGTTGATCATGTTACAGTGCTAAATCACCTTCAGACCGTTGGATTTAAATCGGATTACCCTTGGATTTAAATCGAAACCAGGGACTTGGGTGCCCCATGACGTCCCTGACCCCCAGAAGTGGCAGCGCGCCTCCATCAGTGCCGCTCATCTCTCACGATACGAAAGGAAATCCTTTCTTCCTCGAATTATGATAGGAGATGAGAAATTGGTTTTATCTGTGAACTTTCGGAGGAAGCGGCAATGGGTGGGGCCAGGCGAGAAATCCGAAAGTGACCCTAAGCCCGATTTACACCAGAAGAAGTTTATGCTCTGCGTTTTCTGGGATATGGAGGAAGTGGTGCACTGGGAGTTGCTGTATAGCAAGAAGACCCTTAATGCAATCAAATACAGTGAACAGTTGGAAAAGGTGAATGAAACCCTAAAGAAGTATAGGCCCTTCAAGTTAAAGATCGTTCTCCTCTACGACAACGCGCGCCCTCATGTTGCCAAACTGACTTGCTCTAAAATAAATAGCCTTGTTTGGGAACTTTTGGCGCATTCCCCATACAGTCCGGACCTTGCCCCTTGTGATTACTATTTATTCCGGATCATGAGTAATGAGCTTGCGGGAGAACACTTCGATTCGGAAGAAGCAGTCAAAAATTGGCTTTGAAAGTCTTTCGATTCAAAATGAATCCCTTTTATCTGCGAGTCCCGCGAAATAGCCGGCAGTTTTCAATTCACCAATCCAATAGTAAGAAAGCTGAAATAATACAAAAGCAGTTTTACTAGTTATTTTAAAATCAATATATTTATCCATTCTATTCCTTACTCCTTGATATGGCATTGGTACATGCAACACAGTACTCCCAAAACCTGGATAAAGAAAGCATCGGGCCGGAAAAGTCGGCAAAGCCGTGAAAATATTTGTGTAAACGCATTCGAAAGTAACACAAGATAGCTAAGAATTAGATTTTTTTCTTAAAAAATAAAGCTTTTACATGATAGACGAAGAGATAATGTTTGTAAGTACTCCAAGCTTTTGGCGTCACTTTTAGAATCAGATAGCAGCCATAGCAATTGAACAGAAAGAATGGAACTAAAGATCTTTTAATCTTAACAATTTGTAAGGTTTGTTGAATCAAGCCTTACCTGACATAATGTCCAGCCATAAATTTACAGTTTTGTAGTAAGTTATATCAAAAACCATTGAAACTAAACAAAATATGTAAAGACAAAGTATTTTATCAGAAAGTTGAAATCGAAAGAAAATTCCACCATGCAATAGTTTTTTATCTTTAATGAATGCTGGAGTTTTGGCCTTTTTCCCTCAACTCACCTGCTTTTTTGTGAAAGAGTCTTCGTTTTGTAAAAGAAATGACCCGATGTTCTGAAAGGATTAAAGGTCAATAATGTTGTAGTGCGCTATTTGTGTGCAGAAATGTTCCAAAACAAATTTGAAAGCTAGATTATGGACTATAATAACACATTCACGACAATACGGCCGCTCTAATAACGATTATTTTTAGTGCCAATTCAATTGTTTAAGGATTTTGTTATTTATTTTGTAGAAAGTTCTTGATAACTTTGTACTACTTTTCAAGAGGAGATTCGGCGCTATCGAATGAGCTATAATGATTTAGTTTATCATTGAATCTTCACCAAATTATCAGTGAAAAAGTAACGACTACGCGGCTGTACGCCCAAAATACCGTCGTTGCGAATGTGTTAAATTCATGACACTTTTGACAAAATCTTGAGAAAGGAAATGTCCAGGTCAAAGCCACGAAAAAGGGGTTCCCTGAAGTGGCAATTTCAGAACAGCTAGAATTAGTGCAGTAGCCAAGTGTTTGCCATAGCGATGCTAAATAAGCTTAATTTTCTCTCAAAAACGAAGGATCTTGACACAAAATGAGCAACTCTTTCGTCATTCTTGACAAAATTACCAAAATTACATCGGCATTAGTTCATTCATTAGTTCCTCAATAGAGTGCCAAAAATATCTTGAATTTTCAATATTTCAATTTCAATAACTTTCCAATTACCGAGTGTTTCACCTGGACGATTGCATAATAAACATTTGTGGGCGAAAAGATCGATTTGTAAACCAAAAGAAGAGACATTTCCTGCTCGACTAACTATTGCTGGCCTTGTATTCATGATCGTTGAGTTCGATGCTCATTCCGAGAACTATGTCTTTACGATTATTCACTGCATTTCGGGTAAG